CTCTCGACCCTGATCCTAGCCCATGCTTGAATCATGTGGTTCAGCTTTTGAAAACTTCTGGTTTAGCTTGTGCCTCAATTTTGAACCAGCTTAAAAAGGTTCCATCATGACTCATACTCAGACAAGCACAGTATCTCTAGTTTTAATGCCTGCTAGAATCACAGTAGTACTGATGAAGCCATCTTGGGACTAGGGGCTAGCCCTCCCCAAGTTTCCAGGTTTCAGATTCCCTGAGAATATTGATTTTGTCAATATAGTCTTCCTGAAGCCTGTGCGATATGTTGTTTACCTCTTGATTTAGCCCACATTTTTGAATTCTTGACTTTAGCCATTGAATGACGGCCTGCGATATGGCAACTTGCATTAGTATAGAGCTTAAAGTTTACCATATCTACAGGTATATTGTGAGTAGTGGGAACTCATTACAATTTAGGATAAGTATGGAATTTAAACCGCTAAGAATTCTCTAATCCCAGAAAAGTCATTGTTATAGTTTCTATTTAGTAGTTTTTAGCCATGAACTGGATGATTGACTTGATTTGTGTTCTACACTCTTATGGGTAGCTAAAATCATGTATTTTTTCCTTTCAGGGGGTTGCAAGAAAACATTCAGCAGTTGTTCTAACTTCTGCAATATCTGCTTGGTCGTTTCTTCTCACAAGCATGGATAGTTGGAACCTTAGTTACAATCACTGGCAAGGGTAAAGTAGACCATTATGAATATTCGTCAAGCATACAATATGGATGAAACTCTTCTTTTTGTGATTGTTAAATAACATGGGAGCCTTCAAATTGCAACTATTATAAGCCATGAATAACATTAGACCATTCAATTAATAGTAGCTATGCATATAAGCCATCAATCAACTAACTTATCTCACTTGGATATAACATGTGCATTTTTCCCACTGGTGCAGGGCAATTGATTTCTTTTTGAATATACTGGAGACGGATGGTGGTTCTGTCCTTGCTGCAGCTAGTGAATCATTAGCTCTAATCTTTGAAGTGGAAAGCTTTGATAAGTTTGTTTGCGACACAAAAGTTACCAGTGATAGTTCAATTTGCAAAGAGGGAAATTGCCTAAAGGGGTTTTCGTCTACACAAGAATTGAAGGAAGCAATAATTGGTCAAGTAAGGAGCCTTTCACAACAAGCTGAAGGTTGTAGTTCAGCCAGTAAAGTTGTGAACAATGATTGCAAATATAGTTGGGATATTGTGAAAGTGTTGGAGGAAGATTGTTTTCCTGAAACATCAGTGAAGATTGGTCACCAAATTTTAAGACTTTGCACATGGTCTCAATTGTTACAGGTATTTTTTCTTTGTGACAATCACTCTTTCTGGCTTTGGTCTTATGCAATAATTTCACACATTTAATTATATTTCTATTTATAGATGAACTATCTAAAGAATTTTCTTGGAGGTGGATTTCTCAAACACATGCTGGTTAGTTTTGTCCTCCTTAGCAGTGCTCTACCTAGCCTTGTGATATGGTTTTATTTTTCAGTTGAAATAACATTGCTGATTGTTTGAACAGGAAAATGAACAACTTCATGATGTCTTTGATTTCACACCAAAACCACTGTCAAGCAATGAGCCGTATGTATGTGAAAGAGAAGAGGTTGGTTTGACATTCATTTTTACTGGTTGCCTCTGAGCTATGAGCAACAAGCTTTTTGTTAAACAGTTGTTCCCTAATGGTTGATTATGTCTGACCTGTGTTTGGAAATATAGGTCAGTGTTCATTATTTTGTACCTCAAGTCAGAAAAAAAGACAACAAAGATTGCTGTCAGGTACTTTTCCAAGCTCGTTTGTGTTTGTAATAGGTTTTTAGTCCTTTTTCTTGTATTTTTCTGCTTAAATAGAAGGGATTGTACAGTTTGATACTATGACTCGTGTCATCTTTTAAGAAATAAGACTAGATCTTAGTCGTAGGTTTATTAATTTTTTATATTAGACTTTAATTTGAGCGTATAACGCATGATCGAAATAAATAGCGAAGACAGACTCACATAACAGATCCCAAATGATTGGGACATAAGACTTGATTTATTAATTTTTTATATCTGACTTCAATTTGAGCGTATAGCACATGGTCGAAATGAATGACGAAGACGGATTCACATAGCTGACCCCAAATAATTGGGACATAACGCTTGACTTGGTTTGATTTATTTGACTTCAATTGTTGTTATTCTTGAGGGGGCCATGAAACCATCATAGTGCCTCCCGTTGATGGATTAGATTAGACACACTGATTTTGGTGTATATGGTGGCAGATTGGACTTTTTTCATAAGCCAGTTGGGCTCCATTTATTTTGATAATGCACCCCACAAAATTGCAATTCATTTTGGTCTTGGTTGCATAAAGTCTATTATGTTCTGTAACTGCAGAGACTTCACAAGTCACGCAATTCTGCCGCGAGCAAGGCAAGGACTCAACAGTTAAATAAGCAACGTACTATCAGAGGTATCTTCTTTTTCAATGCTTCTCAAGTCATGGTCTGACTTAAACCGCATTAAAAATTCCCTCGGTATTCTTTCACACCACGTGAATTGTAGTGATTTAAGAAGTGCCATGTCCTGGTCTTAGCAACTCGCTGTCGCTTCTTTGAAAGGAACTTATGTCCAGTATTTTTGGGAATAAAACTGTCTTACCTTAATTATCTTCTCGATGTTTGCCTACATTGCAAATTTCTGTTCGAAATGCCATTTTGAGAGTTGTTTAATTAACAGCCATAGTACTTTTTTTTCCCTTTAGTGGGTGATGAATCATGAAAGTAAGAACACTGTAGTTAGGCATGTTCATTCAACTGAAACATTTAACCTGAAAATCCAATTCCGAAATTCTCCATGACACCATCTTCGCCTGCCTCCTCATTTGTTAGACGTTACCCAATCACATTTGCTTTATATTAAATAACTTGAGCATGACAGTGAGACCTCTTGAAAATTGCTAATTGACCCATACAGTTAGAGTTTATTCCTTTTTGAAGTCTCTTACAGGCAAGACAAAAAATTGTTCACTTCATTAATGTTGAACTTTTCATGCATTATGTGCAGCTGAGGAGCTTCGGATATCTTTTGATTGATGCTGGAAGTGAAGTGGGCATGGCCGAACACTTTGGTAGTAGTGCAGCAAGCAATCAAGACTATAGAAAATTTTGTTTATTGTTTCTCTGATTTAATTTGTATCGATAGTTGTTTATATCGTACTATACGCGATACGATACGTTTTGAAGCATACAATACATATTGTTTAATTATATTGGTTTGTGTCGTATCGTGTGATACACGATGTGATATGCTTGACACAAGATAATACGTACAAGTTGTCCGATAGGAGGCGAAATAGATAAAAATATTTCTTTGAATTTTAACTAGAAAACGACGTATTTTCACTTAAAGTCTTCTTTTTTATTCCTTCTATCGCGGGAGCAAATACTTTGTTTAAATCCACTTCTGAAAAAACATTTGTGAATGTTATACCAGCTGTTAATAGAATGTACTTGGGTTTTGGGCAAGACATTATCAATTTTGAAATTTTCATTGTTCCGGACTCTCTAATCAGGAGAAACCTAGTGAACATTGTGATGCTTGTTTGGGTTTGTTTCTCTGTGAATGTAAAAAATAGAGGTCGGAGGTAACTAGCGAATTCAGAATGAGAGCATGTGTATTCTGTCATTTTTTTTAATATTTTTATTTATTTTTGGGTTAATTGCACTGGAGGCCCTTAAGTATAGGATTTATCATATTTTAGTCCTTATTATTTTAATTGTATCATTTTACTCCCTACAGTGTTGAATGTATTTTTATATGATCTTTCAAGCAAATAACATCTAAATTATTAATGATTTTTTATCATAAATTTATCACGCGATACACAATATAGGCAAAAAATAGTTTTGGTAGTTCTTGATTAAAATTTGGATAACTTTTGACAAACAATGTGTAATATGAATAGTTCATGATCAAAATTTGAATAGTTCATGATCAAAATTATGTAATTTGCCTTGCTCTTTAACCAAATTTTTGATAAAAATTTGATCAAAAGTTTTCTAAATTATTTTTTTCTCGTATTTAAATATTATGTATCAAGTTTATAATAAAAAAATTATTAACAATCTAGACACTATTTACTTGAAGGTCTACTTATAAATAAATTCAATATTTTAGAGACAAGTGATATAATTGAAATATTGAAAACCAAAATAATATAAATCCCATACTTTAGAGATTTCCATTGTAATGAACCCTTTATTTTTTTTTCTTTTTCACCTTATCACTTAAGAATAAGGTAGATTAAAAAATAACACTAAATTAATGAATATTAAAAATAATTTTATGCAAACCATCTCGAAAAAATAGTGGGAAGTTGATGGTAGTTACAAAATGCACCAAAGGTCCCGTATGTCTAGGCACTCGGTGGGCTCCAAGGCCTAAATGTGGGTAAACCTTTGACCAGCCAAAGCAGTAAAAGTCTTATAATAGGCAAAAATCACTTAGGGGCGGGTTTAAGAACTTGAACTTGGGAGTACTCCTCGTTGAGGGAGGTTGACATGAGATTAATGTTATACCTCGGACACGAGTAAACCTTTGGATGACCAAAACACTAAAAGTCCTATTGTAGGCAAAAAAATTTTGGCGACAAATTCAAGAATCTGTATTTAAGAATGCTCATTGTTTATGGAGGTGACACAAGATTTTAGGTGAGACCCTTGACATGACGCCATATAGTTTTGATGATATTTCGTTCAAAAACTTAACATAATAGTTTAATTGCTAAAGTTTTAGAATTTAGGGGCTTAATTGACATAAAAATTAGTTCAAAAACTCAATTGACATAAAATCTTAATTCAGGGGCTAAATAATTCAAAACTATCATAGCTACAGGGTTATTTGTGTAATTTACTCATTCCCCAAGTTAGTTGTACGCATCACACTGGTAACAGAATTGAAATGAAACCTGCTGCGCCTTAAACACCGCTGCTCGTAATTGTGCCCCGGTTCTCTCTTTCTCGATCGATACTCATGCCCCCAATAGTTCCGGTGATTGAGCAAAATTTCACAGGGATATGAATATCAGTGCTGTTGCGGATATGAGTTCAGGCATGCCGACGCAGTCGTCGGATCCACCATTGAAGAAATCCAAGATTGAAACCCACACTGCCAAAGCATACTTGCTTTACACTTGTCGTCATTCTTATGGATATAAGTTGTATGCCCTAGATCCTCGTGCTCTTGGTAATTGGAATGGTAATCCTGAGGAGAAGATAGAAACTTTACAACCTGTTCTCGATTTGCCTGGCCTCAAGTATCCGATGAGAATGGATGCTTTTGCGGTGGGATCTACGTTGTATATGATTGGGGGGAAAATTCCACTTGAAAACAAGGATATGGATAAGCCATTTTTGCGTTCTCGCCTGTCTCCAAGTGTTTATATGTGCGATACCACCGCCTTACCCTTAAAAGTGGTGGAGGGACCTCACATGAAAGGGGGGAAAGCTGTGCCATTTGTGATTCCTGTTGATAACCTGATTTATGTCATTTCTGACGTGCCTCCAAGATGGACAACCTTTTATGCTGACGGGGATGAAACTGTATTATTTGAGGTTTTCGACCCAAATGAGGGAAGCTGGTCCTCCTTGCCACGCCCTCCATTCTATCCCCGCCCTGATCACTGTGACCTGGAGCCAGGTGTATTTTTTTTGGTTTTAGTACTTGCAGAATTGTTAACTATGCGGTTGTTGACTCCAGGATCTTTTTTTGCATCCATAATAAAACCCGCATGTACGCATTCCATGTAGATGATCACAAATGGGAGACTTTTGACCTCCTTCCAAGAGAAAACCTTTTTCCCTTCGATGGTCTTGCCATTTCGATATCTGACTCTACCTGGATATCTGTTGGTTCTGGTGACTCAAACTCCCCTTTAACAACTTACAATCTTGCTTCAAACCAGGGATTGGTCCGCAGGGCAGTTGAAGGTCTTTCGTCGATTGTACCTTGTAGACCATTTTTGGATTTTTATTCTGATTACCGTTTGATTGACTTTAAGAGTGGCTGGTTTTGTCTTCTCATATGTGGGATGGTCATGGATTACTTCTCGGAGGTGGATCCACATCCACATGCTTTGGTTAGTGTTTTTCGCCTTGTCAAAAAGCACATGGATGAGGTCTATTTACATGAAGTAAAGCCCTGGGTGTCTCACAGGAAGTTAGACCCAAAAGCAATTAAGGCCGCAGGCCTGCCCATGCCCTATTTACACGATTTCTATGATATGTTCTCGGTTGACATGAGGGTTGGATCAGCAAAAGACCATTTTGATCCTTAAAAACGCATTGGAGAAGTTCAAGTATTTGATGCTGAGGACCTGCATGGCTCTCTATTTGCTGTTGGGAATGACAAATTCACCAAGATGCCTTATTTAATTGCTGCCTTCCTTGTGTATGGTGTGTTATTCCCCTCTGGTAATCTCTTTTTGTGTTGCTCCACCTTATTGCCATAATATTGTTCTATCCGAATGTTATTCAAGTGTTCCATCTTATTGATGTTTGTGTGCTTATTCTATTGCATTCGGCTGAGCTTATAAGAAGTGATGGTGGTTGGCGGTATGATTTCTTTCCTAAACCATACCTCCACCAAATAGTGAAGGTGTGCACATTTCGATTTCAAAATCATTCAAGTGTAGGCTATTAATAATTTCAAGTACGTTTAATATCACAGATACTTTATTAATGTGTGAATTTAGTCGATTGTAACGACAGTGGGCCGTTATGTATGTGAAGTAGACGTGGTGTTAAAAGAGGTGATAACAACTTTGAAAACTATTATAACCAATGTTTTGAGAAGCACCCCTAGATGCAAAGTGAGGTGAGGCAAGTTCGCCACGAGGACACAAGGTGCTTGAGGCATAAGAAGTGTTTGTGAGTGTGTGTTTTTTTTTAAATTTAAATCATGTTATGTATTTGAGCCATTGGATGTGTTTGTTTGGATTCTTGAACTCCATTGCTTAATCCATATAATCATGTATTTGATAAGAGTTGGATCCTTGAGTTGTTTGGTTGCTATGTTGCTCCTGAGTGTTGGCTCGTAATTGTGTAACCAGTAAATTTGTTAATTTCTTATTTGATTCTACTGGAACATATGTGTCAATCAAAAGTAATGAAAAGATCAAGCGTAGATCTTGGGTGCTTAGTGATTTTTGGAATGCCTATCTTATTTTAAATATCCTTATCCTTCTTTAGTGTGACTTGAAATTCTTATGAGTTATGCCATTACTCATGTTAAAAAAATTCTTATTGCTCGAATAATGTCTTGTTATTTGCAATGTTTGCTTCATGTCAATGAAGCCCGAGCCTTTATGTCGTTCCTCGTTCCCCAAAAAACCTTAGTGCCTTCGTTCAACTTGCACCTTAATTAGTATTGGTTCCTTCTGTTATTTCTGAATTTAGTATGTTTTGAATTTCTCAGCACACTTGATAAAACCTACAAAACCTTGACCATAGTTATTTTTTTGGCACTAGAATTTGGGCAGACCAATCTGGGGATCCATGGAAAGTTACTTTCCCGTAAACTACATTGCATATGATAATTAACTTAGTAAATTGTTAAATAAGTATGGATGAATGACCCATACCCATTAATAAATAGTGGAATCCCACTTGAATCCATGATTGGTGTGGTGTGTCATTTAACATTGAGTGAAATTAAGTGAAAGTATATTAGAGATGATCTCAATCGTTACTGTATGATATACATGCTCTTGTATAATTTATCTCCTCTTCACCACGGCCATGGTGTCTCTTAACTTCTTCATGCAGCATTTGTTTCCACATCGGCTCCTTTTTTTATCGGTTCTTTTACTATGAGTCCAATGGGTCAATTGTATATTCACTAACATCTATTTTCGTGTTGGGTGGTGTGGAGCGGTTTATTGATTCTCATACCGGCACTTTACCAACAGATGCGGATGTTCCCATCAAACTACATCACCTAATGTCACTTCTTACTTTTCTTATTACTTAAACTCTCTCTCTCTCTCTCTCTCTCTCTCTCTCTCTCTCTCTCTCTCTCTCTCTCTCTCTCTCTCTCTCTCTCGATGATATTCTGAAGTAAAGTGCATTTGGTGTAGAGAGGATGGCTAATTTGCTGGTGATCATAGTTGATGGACTGTGGTTCTGTTTTGAGTTGCTGGGATTTGCAAGAGATGCGGTTTTCCACCATTTTGTCGATACAAGTTCTTGTTTTGCAATGAACTTGTCTTGCGCAATACTGTACTTTTCAATTTATTTTCCAAGTGCATTAGTTTTTATAAAAGTGTGAGTAGTTTATTCAAGCGTATTATATAAACACAATTTGTGTTGGTTAATAAAGCCATCAACGCCTTTTTACCCACAATTCTAGTACTTTTACCCACATATTTGGTAGTAATAAAAACTACTACTTTGAATTAGAAAAAAATCTTAGACTCGGCCCTAAGTTTTCGAGATTGTTCATTATTGCTTGCTTCGTTTGACATGAACATGATTGAGCACCAATATCTTGGTGATAGAAACTTGAAAGAAAAGTTAAAAACTTAATCCGATTACTAGTATGAGAAAGTGATGGAAAACTCGAAAGTTATAGAATTAGAATTTTAAAAACTTTAAACTCAGATTAATATTAAGAAAAAGACATCCTCAATCTGATCCTAATTTAAGAGTTCAGTCTTTGAAAATACATTACTACCTATCTTTAATTTGTTGAAATAATGCTGCTAGGATGGAGTTGGTGGAGTTCATTGGCGTCCGACATTATTGAGGTAAGTGCATATACAATATAAATGCTCAAATGAATGCATCTTAATATGATTTTATGTGTGTGTGTGCGCACGTGTGTATTTTTGTTTGTGTGTGTGCGTGTGCGAGAGTTAAATAGTTGACAGTATAATAAAAAATGGTATTTTGCAGGTGTTCATAGGTAGAAAAACATTTTTATAATTAAATTAAAGAACATTGAATAGTTTATTGGGTAGGTAGTAGAATATTGTTAGTAAGTAAAACATTGTGTTTGAATGTTGTTACAAGTACAAATGAATCAGAAGTGTTCTTGAATTGGGAGGACCTCTAATGGTTGGCAAAATGTAGTTTTGGTCATTCAACGGAAACAAGTCCTGCTCAAACTAGGGGACTTGGCAACCTTCTTTCCTGTACCATTCGTCTCCATTACAGTAAAGCTAGAATCCTATGGGCATCTTTGGGCTAAATTAGTCCAATAATAATTTAATACAATACTTCGATCATCTTATAGAGTCGGGCTAGAAAACATACTCTAATACCTACTTGATACTATATTATCGATCTTGATTGGTACAAAATCAATCTTGATTACTATCAGGACCGAAACTAAACTAATCAGGCTACTTGTTATATAGTTTTGGATGGAATTGGATGCAAGGGTGCTTTTGTCTTTCTCAATTCGATATCACGCATCTGTTATACAATACAAACATATGATTGGTATTAAAACAATAAACCCACGTCTTATCCCGACCTTGAACCAACAACTGCATAAAAGAGGTGTAGGTTAAATTAATAAATCAATTATCATTGCTGGTATGAACTGGAGTGGAATCAATTGTCCAATCCCATCTCATGTTGTTAACCTTGTTGGGAAGAATCTATTACTCTACCGTTTCCATTGAATCAAGAACAAAAATCATTAAAAAAAAGAAACCCTCATGCTGAGACCTTGAGACGTAATGTTTGCTGGGATTTCTCCGTTGACTTCACCTCAAAGCTTTAAGCCAAGGATGAACCCAACACATCCCTGTGAGTGATGTTCACTTCATAATCTCCATGAAAGAGTGAAGTCTCTAAACAACCATGAAAGAGTGAAGTCCCTGCTCAATCCTTGTGACTTAATTGCCTGATGATCATGTCTACGACGTCTCCAGTTGGCAAGTTTTTGAAATTGTTCTCAGTCAAGAATAATCGGTAACATCCTGTTGGAAAACACGACGCTTAGATCACAATTCCATTCAATGCCGGATGTGCGTGTGCCTCCCTTATAATCAGGTCCAAGTACATTGCTTGAGCACATAATAAACACAAAATGATATCAGCTTTTATGATTTCTTTATGTTAATGTTATCATGGGTGTAAATTTGCCTTCAAATAATCTCAACAGTCACCACTCACTAGTCTAGACATAGTCTCCAACTGGTGTTGGACAGGGTTTTGTGAATGAAATTCAATTTTATGACGCCCTCACCCCTTGGGGGTTGTTACTAGTCTTTCGAGTTTTGGTATGCTTAATTAGTCTTGACCCGAGTTGACTACCACAGGTTGGAGCTTGGCTCAAGCTCAGTTGTCAACCTTCGATTTTTCCTGAGCTCCTTTTTGTCCTAGAAGCTGGAGTTGGTAATTAGGCTCCAATGAATTCAAAATACACTCATCCAATGAGGTTCAAGCCAATAATTTCTTAACAATTGCTTTATCATCAGATTAAGGTGTTACATAATTATTTATTTACCATAGTAAATACCAGTATATTATATTATGAGCAAATCTGGCTTCAGCTCAGGTTGAATATTAAATGATCTTAAAACTTTGACCATGTTAAGTCATGAATGAACGAGTCAAACCGAGCCAAATCTTGAATGCAAAATTAGACACCGAGTGGAAGACCAAAAACTATAGCATATGATAACATAT